ACGCATCAAATTGTACGGTACAGTGCGGCCAATGTTTTGTGATTTGCGCGCTCAATCGTGGCACGGTGCGGCCGCGGCGCGGTGCGGTGCGGTGCGGTGCACGGTCCGGAACGGAAAAAAACAAAACACACGCGGGCGCCGGGATCGAACCGGTGACCGCTTCCTCCCACACGGTGCGGGAGCTAGCGCACACCACGAACCGGTGCGTGGCGATGTTCTGAAGCGCATTCCACAGACCCAGGTGTGGTGCAATGCGATGCGTCGCGGTGCGGCGCGGTGCCGTGCGGTGCGAAAAAACGAAAAAAAGCGACGACGGCGGGGCGCGAACCGGCGACCGCGGCTCCCAAGCGGCGACGGAGCTAGCGAAAAAGACGCAGCTCCGAAACCGCGAACGACACGGCGAAAAAGGCCAACTCTCCAGAGGCTCGACCAGACGGACGGACAGACTAGACGCGGGCTGCGTCGCCCGCGAGGGGGCCGTAGTCCCCCGGCTGGGCGGCAGGAGTACGACGGTCCGTGCGTGTACTACACCCGTGTGGGAGTCGAACTCACAAGTGCAAGGGATGCACGAAGGGGAGCATCGTTGTCGTCATGACGCGTGAGTACACGGTGAGTACCCGGGTGGGCGGCAGGAGTATGACGGAGCGTGCGTATACTTGTAGTACACCCGTGTGGGAGTCGAACCCACAAGTGCAAGGGATGCACCCAGCCGTGCGGGCGTGTCGTCGGACGGCTAGAGAGCCGTGCAACGCTGGCATTTAACGCCATCCAGTGGCGAGGCAGACGAACTGTTTTACGTGTCAGGTGGTGTTGGCTGCGGAGGTCCAACGCTCCTCTAGGTTTCTGGCGTGTTTGTACTCGGCGTGCGTGCGTGCGTGCGTGCGTGCGTGCGTGCGAGCGTGCGTATACTTGTAGTACACCCGTGTGGGAGTCGAACCCACAAGTGCAAGGGATGCACCCAGCCGTGCGGGCGTGTCGTCGGACGGCTAGAGAGCCGTGCAACGCTGGCATTTAACGCCATCCAGTGGCGAGGCAGACGAACTGTTTTACGTGGCCGTATGCATCAATCAAATCAGCGAACAATGCCTATCACGTAAGCATTGTTATGTACGATTGCAAAGTGTATGTAGGCTTGCCGGTGTATGCCATGACATGCGTCGATGCATAACCTGTTATGCCCCGTCATCGTGTCGAAGCTCGACCAACGAAATCGTAGAATCGCCTGCAGCAGCGTCGGAGACTGTAGACCTTGTGCCGGTCCTAGAATTTCGAGGGTCGTGGTTCGAAACGAGGACAGTGACAGGGCAGAACATAAGAGAGGAAGTTATGCGTCGGCGTATGTCAGAGCAGAAACGATGGTGCATTGAAGAGTGCACGGTGCACGAACGTGTGTACCGTCCGCTGAGGCAGCGGTGTTATCAACGTTAAATTCTAAATGTTCTACACAGTTTAATATTAAATACAGTCACCATCTGCGTCGGGGACTGTACAGCCTACTTAAGCAGCGCCAGCTTCGCAGACGATAACGACCGTGTGGCGTACGACTAACGACTAGATGACTAACGATTAGACGCCGACGTTCGCCGCACAAGTACACAAGGTAGCGCAGGTGAAAGCGCACGGTGCACGAACACTTGTGTTGTCCGCTGAGGTAGCGGTGTTAATTTGGTACGGCACCGATGCAGCCCATCACACACACACACACCACCACACCCACCTGCGAATGGCTGCTGTGCACGCCTTCTGGATGCAAGTCCTACCGGGTTACTGACCCCGTACGACTTGGATCCAGAAGGAGTGGACAGCAGCCACCCGCAGGTATGCGTGTGTGGTGCT